GGGGGGAGGGGAGGGGAACGGAGGCGTAGGAGGAGCCAGACTGAACAGAACAGAACAGGCACCGACAGATAGACAGACAGACAAAAGAGAGTCAATCAAGTCACTCACTCAGTCACGCACTCATTTACTCTTTACTCACCTCTATTCCTCCCTTTCTCATTCTATGGTCAGGAAATCTTCTCCCCCCCCCCTCCCCCAAGCCTAGACAAGTACTCCGTACATCGCATCATTATTGTCATCATCGTCATGATCCTCAGCCTCTTCAGCCTAACTGGTAACTAAACTCAAGGAACTCATGCACGCCTCTTACTCCTTTTTACATCCGTACCTAAAGAAAATCGAACCATTCAGCCACTCTCTTTCCCCCCTACCGTACGGAATAGCCAGTTCCTGTTGCGACAATGGATATCGCACGGTTAGGCTAGAGTCTAGATAGGAGGTGGATGATGGTGTGTCCATTGTCGACCCCCTTCCCCTCATTATTACCCAGAGGGAAAAAAAAATTCCAAAATGGAGAAATACACCGCAATATTACCGCTATGGGTTCTGCGGGCCGGGATATTATTGCTGTCAATACGGTACTACTGCCAATAATAAGATCTTCTCCCCTTCTGGTGGATTTCTAGAATTGATTTGCTGGGGATTGCGCAGGGTGTGGGAGAGTAGGCCAGCGTGAAAGCAGAATAGAGACGGACAGAAGCAGACAGAAGCTCTCTGCTGCTAGTAGCCGGTTGGCGCCTACGTAGTGCACATCAAGCCCAATGCACTGGGTGAAGGCGCATGGTACAGCAGACCGGAATCATGACGCCCATTGAACAAAGATCCAGACTGGGACAGAATCAAGAAGAAGCCTCAGAAATTCTCCCCGACTACTCCGTACAGAGCAGCTTCCAAAGCGTCTGGGATACGTCTCTCCTGAGTCCTGAATCCTTAACGGCGTGGGTGATTGCCTGCCTGCCAATCTGGCTGGTTTAGGTCGGTCGCTTGAGTGGTTCGGTGGGCCTCTCATCGTCATCCCTATTTCACTTCCGCCAATTGTCCAGCCCACTCTTTCACCACCCCAGTCAAGGTCATCATGAAGGGGGCCGACGATACACATGTTAATTCATGGAGCGGGTACCGAAAAAAAGAAAACAATAGGGGAAAAAAGGGTGAAGATGGAGGAGCCGCCAGGTAGCAATCTGTGACCGATGTGTTGGAAATATTGATTGATCTGGGCTCAAGGGGGTCTGCGTTTCTCTTTTTCTGGAATCTCGGGGAATAATAGTACTGATGGATCCGACTATTGGAGGGAAGCTATCCCATCTTTCATCCTATTAATATCCCTCAGGGATCGCTGGCAGTGGCATGTCGGCGGCTCCTTGTCAAGCTTATCATCAGTGCTGGCCCGTTGCCTGTGGACAGGGACTCGAATGTACCACATGATTGGTATTTAGGCCAAGAGTCCGTGTAGAGACTAGACAGCGTGGAAGGTGAATCTGTAGATTTGGCGTGACGATACCATAAAGGGGGGAGGTGGGCAAGGAGGAGATGGTGACAATCATTCAACATTCTCAGCCACCACCACCACCACCACAACAACAACAGCAGCAGCAGCAGCAGCACAGTCATGACGCGGGACCCGTTAGAGCTTGCCGGCGGCAGCTCACCTGACCACCAGCAACACAACACAAGTTAGTTATCGGGCCCGACCTGACGATGGCTGAGTCACCCGCTCTGGGTTGAACCCACCCGCGGCATCGGACCATCTCCCCATCCGGGGGGCCGACGCATCACATGATCGGCCAGTGCCGTGCCAACCACTTCCCATTCAATGTCGTCATTGGTCTCGACAGCAGTGGGAAGTTAGGTAATCCAGCACGAAAGTACCACCAGCCCAAAGTACTACAAGTACCTGAGCAAAGCTCGCCTCACGCTGCATCGTCTCATGTACCTTGTCTTGTCACGATCACCATCTGACACATCCTCCTCCTCCCGATAACTAACTTCACATCTTCCACCCCCTCCTCACTCCTCACATCCCCAACCACTTCCCGCTCAGCCCAACTCAATCACCATGCTCCGCCAATCCATCACCAAGCCTCTCACCAGCACTGTCATCAGCCGCTCCTTCTCTGCTCTTGCCCCCAGAATGGGTGCAGGTGATACCGGTGCTCCCCGCGCTGGCGGCGTTCAGTCAGGGTACGTTCAAAGCCAATCCCATCCACCGCGAGCAATCCCAATCCCTCTCTACAACACTGCTCACAGATGACATCATCATCATCACCATCATCACCACCACCACCTCAACCACCAATTTCAAGGCTAAGGCTAACCCGAATCCCAACGCAGTGACTCTTTCACCAAGCGTGAAGCCGCCCAGGAAGGCCGTTACATCCACGAGAAGGAATTGGAGAAGTACGTCCATCAGCCCATTCCGTCCCCGAACCACCATCGCCTATCTCAATGCTGACCTACAATCAACAGGCTCCAGAAGCTAAAAGCGAGCATCAAGGCTCAGCGTGAACACCTTGACAAGCTCGACGAGCACATGTAAGACTTCCATCGACCAAAGCAAAAAAATCTCGTCCACAAACCTTTAACTAACCTCGATTGTTCACTATAGCGACGAGATCACCAAGGATCAGGGCGGCGAGCAGAACTAGATTTGCGTGCACAGCACACTTCCCAATACCCCAACATCCTCTATATCTTCGAAGTTGACCTCTCAGCTCGGTCTACGACATAAGCCTCTTGCTTCTTCTTTTTGTTTCGTTCTTATTATATCCCCGCGAACGTGTCACACCCCTCTCTCTATCCTTACTTCGTAAATCGGAGCGATATTTGACGAATATGACTTGTATGTTGATGTGATGGTCATGCTTTTTTGATATTAGCATGCCGTGCAGCTAGTTAGTCTACGCTGAGACGTTTACTATACGGAAGCATTCGATTCTTCGCTGTGTTTTATGTGTAAATCTATCATGATGATACTTACGGTCCCACGGTTCCGCTCAAGAACGCATAGATTATTTGAATCAATACATATACCGCAGTACAAGGCATACGAAGGGACTTCTAGGTAGAATGATACTTTATTATTCTTCATTATCCTTCCCATCCCATGACAAATCCGACGCAGCCACAGTCGCAAGTGCAAAACGAGTACTCCGATAAAAAAGCATTTCTCAGTGGATACAAAACTGTAGAGTAAAAGGCTAGCGCAAACGTGAAGGGGCCCCCACCAGTATGAAATCAAAACTCCACTGCATTATGTTTAGCGCCGTCCCATGTAAGACCGATAGAAATCATCCGCTGCGCTACCGCCCATCGTCGAGCTACCCAATCCTCCGTATCCGAATCGCGAAGACAGCGACTGACCCGCCCGCTGCGCCTTGGCGACCTTCTCGTGGAGCTCGGTGGTGCCCTGGTCAATCGTTTGAAGCTGCGCAAGGTGGGAGTTGAGGATGCGGACGATTTGAGAAATCTGTGATTTCGTGGATCAGTATCAGGGAAGAAGCGTTACAAAAGAGTATCGAATGAATACGCACCGGCTCATCAGCCTTGCTTGTCTTGCTCAGAGTAGCAGAGGCACTGTTGACTTCTTCAATCATGCTGGTAAGATCCTTGCCCATCTCGTCAAGGCGCTCGGAAAGTCGCTCAGCAGTCTTATAACTGTAGTTGTTTTTGAATCAGTGGCTGATCACATATGGACGGAAGAAAGCAACTTACGTTCGCTCACGCTCTTGGTCCGGTCCCTGGAGAGATTCACCAGGATTGAGCTGCTTGGACATCATCTCATCGACTTCCCGCTCGTACCGGTCGAGCCACGAGCTCAGTTCGTCCTGCTGTCCCTCAACGGAGGCGAGCTGGCGTTCCACTTCTTGTGTGGCCCGTTCGGCATCAACGGTACTACCATAAAGCTTCTGGACCTTGGTGCCATTCTCAACGAGCATGCGGTCCCATTCGGCAACCTTCTCGGCTTGTTCGCGGAAGTCCTTCTGGTACTTGGTAAGGTCGGTAGCCCAGCGGGTGATAATCTCGTCCATAGTCTTGTTCTTTAGGCGGGACTGGGCGGGAGGGGTGGGGCCGGCCGTGGAGGCACCGAGGCCGCTGGCGCCTGTTGCAGGCATGGTAGTCGACGTCGCGGGCTTGTCGGTTGCGGTAGCTGCAGGTGTGGTAGCGGATTGGGTGGAGGGTTGGGTCGCAGCAGGCTTGCTGAACAAACCGCCGGTAGCAGGGGCAGCGGATTGGGTGGTTGTTGGGGCAGCAGTAGCTGTGGTGCTTGGGGTGGTTGTAGTTGTGCTCGTCGCGGCAGCTCCGCCAAGGTTGAACAATCCGCCGCTAGGGGCAGCTGGGGTAGTAGAAGGGGTGGCTGATGAAGTCGTTCCGCCGAGTGTAGGGAATAGTGATTTTTGAGGAGTAGAAGAGGAAGCAGCGGGTGTGGTGGAGGATGTGGTGCCGGTAGTCGGGGTACCTAGCGAGGGAAAGGCGGGCTTTGTCGCATCGGCACCGCTCAGTGGCTTGAAAGCAGGGGCAGCACCTCCAGCCGGAGCGGCATTGCCAAAGAGAGATTTCGGGGCACTGTCGTTGGTAGTAGTCGCGGGGGTTGTTGTTGTTGTGGTTTCGGCAGGCTTGTCTTTGTTCGCGTTTCCAAAGAGACCACCGCCCGTGGTTGCCGAAGGGGTTGCGTTGAACAATGGCTTTTGAGCCGGGTTTGACCCGAACAGGCCGCCGCCAGTCGACTGCGGCTGTGTAGCGTTGGCATTACCGAACAACGAAGGAGCGGTGGTCGCCGCGGTGGTCGCAGAACTGGTGGTGCTCGTAGCAGCCGGGGCCGTAGTGGCGGCGGGAGTCGGGTTCAAGCCCCCAAACAGAGAGTTGGCGGGCTTTTGTGCCTGCTGGGCTCCTCCGAAGAGAGAAGGCGCTTGACCGGTAGTGGCAGGCGGGGGTCCAGCAGGCGTAGTGGACGAAGCACCTCCGAAGAGGCCTCCTCCCTGTTGCGCCGGGGTAGCTGTGGCATTGCCAAACAGAGGCTTGGAGGCGTTGTTTCCAAAAAGTCCACTGGTAGCAGTCTGTCCCGAGCTGGGGGTTTCGGTCGTTTTGTTTGGGGTGGAGGAAGCGTTGGAACCGAATAAGGGCGTCGACTGGCCCGTTGCTGCTGGCTTGCTCGCAGCGCCAAAACTGAACGGGGATGCGTTGCTGTTGGCAGCGGCAGCTCCAGCGTTACCGAAAAGAGGTGAAGATGAGCCGCTTGTCGTGGTAGCTCCTACATTGCCAAAGAGCCCACCGCCGCTGGGAGCACCAGAATTTGCGCCTCCGGCGGACCCAAAAAGACCACCTTTGGAAGCGCCACTGGAGGCGTTGGAGTCGAAAGAGAACATACTCATAGCGATGGGGCCGGAAGCCAAGGAAAGTGAGGGATATGGGTTTGACAGGGCTACCCTAAAGGGGAGAAGAAAACAAAGTCAGTCTCGGACGGGGAAGTGAGGGAGATGAAAAGAGTCCGAACAGACAGAGGGATACTGACTGCGCCCGAAAAAGAGGTCACGGAAGCGCCCTCTAGAAAGCAAGAAGCGCAATTGATCGGACTGAGAGAGCGGAATCCGCGTGCTTGACAAGCAGAGACAAAATCAAGGTCAGCAGCGTTGTGGCAGTTGAAGCTGGGAACCTCCAGACTTTCTGCCCCTTCTACTCTTTGGGCGGCGGACAGGCGGCTGAAGGAAGCAACATCGGCGCTTGTGGCGGCTGGCGGTTAGGCCACAAGGCTTAGAATCAGGCATGAAAGAACAGCATGTCTTGCTGCCTCAGGCCACGGTCGAGACTCACATCGACCCCGACGATCACGGCTGAGACGACCTCATGCACTCTCGTCTGGCTATTACTCGCCCCCCCCCCCTTTGCCTCCTAACTTCTTACAACACGGACGACAGCATCTAGAAATACATGCTCTATCGTTAAAATTTAACTTGAACGCCCCGCTCCTCAAATGTCGGATCGGATCTCCCGTCCATCCAGTCCATACTTGGAGTCTCCAAGGAAGACCGTCGAGTTGGAAGACCCCGGTGCTCAGGACTCCGGTAAGCCTCTTTGCAAACCCACCATCCTCGCAATTTGGACTGGTCCCTGGTCGCGGGACCTCCTAACACTTCCTATGACATGATAGCCGCCAACAGCGACGATGAGCATTTCCTTGATGCCAGCGAGGGTCATCAACTCCCACCTTCCCGCCCCTCCTCCTCCGCCGGGCGCGCATCCCCTATCCCGTTAACACGAGTGGAACGAGTCGATGAGAATCCAGCACATGGCGAAGTCCCCGGCACGGCGGCGTATGAGATTAGGACTCAAGACGCCGTTCCCGATCAAGTTGAAGTCGTCCCTGATGGGTCCCGCAGTCGGAGCACTTCGACATCCGGGCAGCAGCAACGACCGATGACGCCCAGTTCTCCGATTCCCCGGACGGTGGTCGAGAAGGTGGATCTTGATCAACCGAGCCACGGGGACATACCTGGTACTTCGGCCTACGAACTAAGGAGAGCGGATGCGGTACCAGACGTTGTCGTGAAAGCATCAGAGTCGGATGCTGCGCCCATCCCCGAGTCCGTTTCCATTCTTACTGATACACCCGTCCCCGAGACGCTGCTATCTCAAGTCAATTCCCCCACAAACGACGAAGAACCATCACCACAAGTTTCATCAGATGACACCGAAGAATCACAACCACATGCTCATCGGGCAAACCCCAGTGACCCCCAGCCGGATCAAACGGAAACGGTCACCGCGGCGCCCCCAGGTAAGTCGGGTTTCTGTTAACCACCAGCAAAAAATTTCAGGGACGATTGACCAATGCAGACTCGCCTGCAAGCCATCGAAGTCACACCCGCCGGAAACCATCAGTGACGGGCGAAGAGTTCGGGGAAGAAGAAACGCCTGGGGGTGGTGCAGACGACTTCGATGATTTCACCGAGGGGCAAGACGACTTGGGAGACTTCGACGACGCGGACTTTGGGGACTTTGACGACGGCTTCCAGGAGCCGAGTGCAGCGGTCCCCATGGATGTTGAAGTCTCGCAACCTCCTACGCCGCCCTCTGTTGTATGTGAAAGAGTCTTTTCGTCCGGGGCATCATTGCTAATGATTCCCTCAAGCCGACCCTCCTCGATCTAACCACCTACCAAAGAATCCCCGACCTCTACGCGGCGCTGGACGACCCTCTCGATCAACTCTTTCCCTCCACAACGTCACCATTACCATCCTCGAAACCCGAACCCATCCCCAACGCCACCGCCATCTTCAGCACCGAACGCTCCCTCTCCCTCTGGTCCCAACTCGTCGCTCCCCCACCTCTTCAGCCTCAGAACTGGGTGAAATCCCGCATCCGCCGTCTCTTCCTCGTCTCACTCGGTGTCCCCGTCGACCTCGACGAGATCCTCCCCGCCTCGAAACAGAAGAAACTCGTCCTCCCCTCCCTCACCATCTCCTCCAGCATCTCCTCAACCGCCACGCCTAATACCGCCTCCCAAAACCCCGGCACCGCCACGCCAATCCACGCAAGCTCCCACTCCCGCTCCCAGAGCCTCGCCGCCAACGCCAACCGCAACAGCATCCAAAGTACCGCCGGCAGCCCCGGCGGAACGCCCCGCAGCACCGCCGCCCGTCGGAGACGGGAAGCCTCCCCACCACCCGAGCTCGATCTCTCGGCCGTCCGCCGCCTCTGCGCCACCACAGACGCGGCGCTCGGGGGCCTGACGGACGGGGAACTCAAGGGCCACGTCCAGGAATTGGAATGGGTCACGTTGCGGGCGAGCTCGGTGCTGGAATACTGGCTGAAACGGCTGGACGGGTTAGTAAGCGAGAAAGAGGCATTTGAAGGCGTGATTGAAAATCTCGTCAGTCATGCAAGGAGAGTGAGGAAGTAGTACGGAGTAGGAGTAGTAGTAGTAGACCACACCAAAACATCTCGCGGGAAAGGAACCACCGGACAGATGATCTTTTACTATCTTATAGCTTATAATGAGGACGGGGCCGAAAAAGTCAATTCCGGATGGATGCGGGAAAACCTTGAAGATACAAACGACGATCGGTTTGGGCTGGGGTGGGTGCAGTGGTTATTTGGAGCTCCAGGAAATGGAGGAAGAAACAAAGTTCTAATTCTATTGGTAATGACATGATATATACCTGATGCATTCTTCGTGTTTGACTTCCTGATCAATTCTCTTGAGTGGGTGTGTGTCTTGGCTTGGTTTATGAGGAACAGACGGACGGGTTTTATCTGTGTGGAAATTGGTGGAATTATCATGGTTGGAGTCAGTGGAAGTAGCACAGGTTGGTGGTTCAGCTGTCATTCCGTGCGCGGGTGGAAGAATATGCAAAGTACAAATACTCAGAGTTTCATCGGGTCTCGGTCGTAATGGTACACTGTGCTCGGATACACATTCTAAAGATATCGCGCCAAATGGACCGACTTAACCCATCATGTGGACGGTGGGTTCTTTAGAAGACTCACATAGCCTTCGTAGGTGCACCCCCTGGACCACTAGTTGTGAATCGCAGTGTGAAACCGGTGCATGGACAGAGTGTGTGAGATACTACTAGTCGGAAAGGTACGAATTCAGAAACAGTTGGAACTGACTTTTTACTGGGGATATGTGTCTGTATTTACCTAAGAAAAAAAAGCGCTATATCCACGGAATCGGCATCCCAATTCCATTCTCATCTAGAGATATAAAATAGACATAGAGCAATAAGAATTTTGGGGTATCGTGGAGAAAGAGCTCCTTTTGCTTAAACGCCGGGAGAAATAAACGGGAACAAAAAAGAAAGACGGAAAGAAACGAAGAAGACGAAAAGCACCGTTTTTGGGCAACACTTGACGTAATCATGAATTAACTTCAGATGGACGCCGTACTGAGTTCTCCGCCAGTGGAGTTAACTTGGAAGTCCAAATGATGCGCCGGAATTTCAATCGAGGTCAATCACTTCCGGGATCGCGCTTACTGTCCGAATGGGCTGGGGGGTTGTCTCCGGTTGGACCATCTTTTGTCTCTTGGGGATAGGACTGTCCAGGCCCGCGGAGGAGCGTTTAGAGGTTGGAAGATCTGCTTCAGTGACCACAGTCCAGGAGCCATCGAGAGCGACTCGAATGGCGCGGGCGTCGTCAAGTTGATTCGTGCGCACTAATTCGTTGTGCACGTCAACCATAAACTCGTCGCGTAACAACATCTGTGGACGAGCATCACCCTGACAGATCGGGCAGCGCCAGTCGTTGGGCAAGGCACGCGGTCCGGAGACCCCGGCCCGGGTTTGTATGAATGTCTCGTGGTCGAAACATTCGGAATGAAGACAAAGCTGTCCACGAACAGGTTGCTTGAACACGCGAGCAGTAAAGGGGTCGACAAGATTGATCATAAGGTCGCTACTAACCACATGGAGGTCATCGTCTTCGTTTTCATTGCGGGAGGACTGCTCAAGACGCTGGTGAATCTGGCGACGGGAGTCATCCGCTTGGAGAGTCTGCGCAAGAGCCATGACAGGCTCGAGAGCGGCAATCTGGGCGATCTCCACGGCAGCGGCGTAAAGTTTGTCCTTCTGCTCGGCTGCATCGCGAATGAAGTGCATCGAGATTCTGTTCTCACCCGCGCGCAAATGAGGAGTTATGTCTAGAGGTACATCCTTCTGATGATGTAATTTCCGACGTACAAAGAGTTCAGTGTCATTGACGAAGATATAGATCACGCTGGGCCAGGCGCAGTCAGCCCGACTCCAGGTAGATTCGTCGATCGGGGGTTTTGTGTCGGGCGAGACAGATATACAACGCAACCGATAGAGCTGCTGACCGTCCATCAATACACGGACAGGATGGGAAAGCTCGCCAGAACTCTTTTGCGAGGGAGCTGGAAGGCGATCCGCCGCCTCTTGTGATAGGGTGAAGGACCAGTGAAACTGGCATTCAAAGCGGCCCAGTGGTCTTGGCATGAGTGCGAAGGAATCCAGATATTGGAATAGCTTTGTCTCTTGAGCCTGGCCCGTAGAGTCCCTTCTGACTAGCTGGTGAACTGGTTCTCGAAGATCGACCTGATGTAACGCATCACGTAGAGGGTGTAATGGCGGAGCGTTGGCTGGCATTTTCTTTCCAGACGTAGGGAGGAGCAACGTAGACGTGCAAGGCTTAGATGGTGTTGGACGAAGCGCCCCCGGCCGCGAGGTTTGACGCATTGCGAGTATAGCTTGCTGAGCAGCTTCGGCCTGTACAGACGGGCGACGAGGAGGACCTGGACCTTGATCCGGCGTCACTGTGGGGGAAGGAATAAAGCCTGGAGAAGGAACCGTGACAGACATGTGAGCCATGGTGGGTGTCGGGTTGGGTGTATGAGGATGCAATACCGGGGCTGGCGCAGCGGAAACAGGTGAGGCCTGTGTGAATTGTGGGGAATGGGCGGCGAGAGGTGGGGTGGGCAGTGATAACACTCCCGGCGTGCGAGCCGAGTGAATGGGTTGGCCTGCCTGCGGGGGAGCTGAGGCAATGACGGGTTGAGGGCCAAAGACGGACGGCGGTGTGTGGGGCGGAGGGTACCCCATATTGATGTGATACAGCGTTAGGATCGCATCGGTCTCCTTGCGCGCGCGCGAAATTGGAACCGATCTCTTCATGGCCTCAGCCAGACGGACCTCTGTCAGGGCAGCGTCGTGCCGAAAGATCTCGGAAAGACGTTCTTCCCGCTTGTTCGGACCCGAGATACGGCGCGTCAAGGCCAAGAAAATGGTATGATGCAGCACATGAGAGCGCAAGGCGAAATTCTGAATTAGCTCCTCAATCAGAGGTGGTAGGCCTCGCTCACGAATATGCGCCTCAAAGGCATTCCAGCGGTGGCCAAGCATGGCCAGGGCAGTCATGGCCTGGGAAAGAGCAGCCGTCCACCACGGCAGGTGCAACATAATGGAAATTGGCTCAGGAAAACACGCGGCCCATTGAAGATACTGCGGCGACAGACGTGCATTGTCAACCAGCAGCTGCTCCAGTGTCTTCAAGCCAGTAAGCTGGTCTTCGGAGAAACCCTGCAGCTGCCCCAGTTCGGCGGGAGCATAAGATACTAGAGTGTATAATTGATGAATCACTAGATAAATGAGATCCTGACATGATAGTGCATCGTGCAGCAGACGCAGGCGGGCGTTCTCCAAAGTCACGGATGCGGAGGTATTTCGTCCCGGGTGAGAGGCGAAAACATCCAGCTTCTTTAAGCTGGCGGGAAAATACGCGGGATTCCCATTGAGTTGAGGTGGATAGGTCAAAAGAACTTCCGGTATATGTATAGCACTGGCTGGTTCACTTGCTGCGGTCGTTGCCGTGGGCGTTGCCGCGGTGGATGTTGTGGTTTTTGCGCCAGCTCTGGGCCTGAGATGCCTTCGGGGTTCAATGGGGGGCCCCGGTGTGATAGGGGACGTCATGGACGGGGCAATCGAGGGCGTAGGGCGCGACGAGGGAACAGGCGCTGCAGCCACATTCCGAAGCAGACCCGGCCAAGGTTGAAAGTGGTGTGAGGACGTGGGATAGCTTGTCGCGGGAGGAGCAGGAACTGGTGGTGCTAAAATTGGCGGTGGGGTTTGTGGAGGAGGAGGAGGAGGTGTTGGAAGGAGTGGCTGCGATTGATGAGGCGGAGGAGGAGGCGGAGGAGGAGGCGGAGGAGGAGGCGGAGGGAACGTTCTGGCGGAGGGAGGAGGGATCGACAGGCCAAGGGGACGTGGACGCGGTGGACGCGGTGGACGTGGCTGCGGATGTGGATGTGGATGTGTGCGGAAAACATTCAAATGTGGTGAAGCAACAGGAACAGCAACAGGAGGAGAAGCATTCATCCAGGCTGGTCGGGCGCCGCCTAGAAATATGTGGGCGGTGGAGTTGCTCGACTGTAACGCGGGTTGATTCGCGGATGACATGGTGCATATTTTGTTGGCAGTCCTGGATGTTGTTGTAGGATTCTGATCACATAGTCCACAGGATACATCAATCTCGATTACTTTTCTTTGTTCCAATCGAAATATAGAAGAAGCAGGACTGGAAAGGTAGAAAAGGAAGTCAAAGTAGTAGGTAAGTTAGACTCGAGAGAAAGAAAAGGAGGGGAACGACTCAACCACCTTCGATCCCAGACAAACAAACAAAAGAAGACCACATGTGAATTCAGTGCAGATGAAACCAAATTGAATAGAGGAGTAAGAAAATTGACCTTGGGTAATTCACAACTAGCCGAGATGAAATGACAGACTGTGCCACACTAACTAAGTAACTAACTAACTACTGCTGCTGCTGGTGCAGTAGTACTGCGAGTAGTGAATAATAGTTCGTTCAAGCTTGACCAGGGTGGACAATGAGGTGCGTATACAGAAGTACTCCGTAAGATAACCGCCGAACATTCCCCGACCAGGCTGGGCTGGATACATCACAATGGGCTGAATGCGATCCATCATTACCCGAATGCAGGGCGTTGTTTCGGGCAGTGTCTTGACCTGTCAATTGGAGGTGAGCCAACTGTACCACTAGGAAGGAGACTTGGTTGATGCTGAAGAAGTGGTGGGGGTGGGGGTTAGTGGTTATTAAGAGAATATGGATTGTTGAATGGATGAATGGATGAATGCAGTCATTGAGGAAGGGAAAGGGAAAGGGAACTAGGAAGCTGGAGGGAAGGGGGAAGAAGCAAGTATATACTTCAACGGTATTTACTCTTACTGTACTCCGTACATGTACATAGATAACCTACTCGGAGGTATGAACTTCTTCCTTCTTCCTCTCCACTCCTTCTCCTCCTCAAGAAAACAATTTAATTTATTATAATTATCACCAATTCCTAATCAGTGGACATCCACATGGGACTTATGATACTGATACTCATAGTATCATCCCATCTAGATATCCTATACTAATTATAACCAAATTAATCTTAATTCTGCCCGACCAGCACAGAATTCGTTCCCCGCTCCGATTCGTGGTTCGTCCGTCTTGACGCTTGCCAATTCAAACTGTTCGCTTTCTGCTTCTCTTGCTTCTTCTGCTTCCTTTTCTCCTCCTCTCGGGCATTCTCTCTCTCTCTCTTTTCTTCTTTTCTTCTTCTTCTTCTTCTTCTTCTTCTCTGCGTTCCTCAGTTTCACTCTCTTATTCTTATCTACCTATTTACCTACTAGTACTTGCTTTTATCTATCAGAATCCTTCCGTCCAAACCACCCCCTCTGTTTAGCTGCAATCAATCAATCCCCTGGGCAAGGACCAACTGATCGACATCATTTTGCCCACTACTGCCATCATCCTGCATCATCGACTCCTCTCTCTGTCTGACTGGTTCTTTCAGTCCAGCTTAACTCTCCTTCCCTGTGCCAACAACTAGTACTCGAGTGCCTACCAGACCTATTTTCTGCTGTGTCGCTCTCCGTCTTTCCGTCCATATTTACTTCCTCCCTCCCGCACTCGCAATCCCTCCATTCATTCTAGACCATCTTTGATCTGGGCGGCGGCCCCATGCCCGGCACTTGAGTCTCACTCTCTCCTCCCCCCACCCTTCTCTCTCTCGGTCATTACGCCTCCCACTTCCACTCCCCCCCCCCCAAATGGCCCTCGCCGCCCCTCCCCGCGGTGTTATCCCCGGGGATCTCCTGCTCGTCGTCCGTGAGTATTTCCATTCTTATTTATGTTCATGTTCTGTTACCTTGCTTGCGATAGCCTTGCTCACCTGCGCAGATGATTTCGATGCCCGCGGCCCCGACGAGCTGACCTTGCGACGCGGTGAGAAGATTGAATTGGTCGAGCTGGATGAGGGCTTTGAAGATGGCTGGTATCTGGGCAAGGACTTGACCACCGGTTCGACGGGCCTCTTCCCTGGAGGTAGGTTTTTAAAGGGTCCAATTCTGTCTACCTACAGCTGGGCAACCGAACACTGACAGTCAATTATCTAGTATACACCACTGCCGCTCCAAAGATCCGCAGTCGCCCTCCTGCCGAGAGCACAGCGCATACGACCCCCGAACACTCGACAGACACCGATGGCGCTGCTCTTGACGCCGAACCGCTTCTCAGAAGCGGCGAATCCACCCCTCAAGTCTCGCGCCATACCAGCATCTCCGACCTACGCGCCCCCGAGGTGCCACGGTCGCCCCCGCAACAGCAGCAGCCACAGCAACGTTCCGCCTCTTCCCCCTTGCCGGCTGCCAAGATGTCCCTTGAAATCCGCCAGGCACTGGAGGGGCAACATCGCAATGGCCAAGATAGCCCTGTCATGAATGAGACCCTCAGCGTGATAGATGAACACATCACCGATCTTAGTACGCCCCGACATAGTGTGGCCGACCGAGAGCCTTCCGTTCTGAACGACTCCGCCAGCGAATATAGCAGTCATCTCGATCACCGTCGCTCCTACATCAATGGCCATGAAACCGACGAGGAGGAAGAGCGGCAGCCACAGGAGGCCCAGGTTCGACGCTGGTCTTCTGCCTACACGGCCCGGCAGCTGCGCCAGCTAGGCATTGAGGACAAGCACTGTGACATCTTCGAGGAGCAAGAGATTAGTGGCGAAGTTTTACTCGATATGAACCAGGACTTTCTTTTTATGAAAGAGTTTGACTTTGGGGTTATGGGCCGTCGATTGAAAACCTGGCACAAGATTCGCACCTTCCAGGACCAGGTCAAAGTTGGCCAAAAGCAGCCATCGCCGGCAGTGTCACCAACTCTGCCGCGCAGCTCGCTGGCAGCAGTTCCTGGCTCCCCTGAGCGCACACGCAGTCGAACTGGACAGACTGCGCCTTTGCTACCGCGCATCCCGACCTTGCGCACGTCGAACACGCCCCATCCTCGGCTGGTCAGCAACGCCGTGCCCAGTACCAGCAGCGGATCACCGATCCCATCGCAAAGCTCATCATTTATGGATCATTCGCGTCGCCCGTCTGCTGCGTCCGTGCGAGAAATCAATCATTCGCGTCGACATTCGTCTATCGATGCGACGACTCGCTACTCGGGAGTCGTCGATGGCTCACCAGGACCCACACAGCGCGGCTCCTTTGATCGTGCCTGGTCGTTGTCAACGGGACCCCAGCAACGGCTTCCCACGCGGCCGGGCACATCGGCCGGGACTTCGACGGGCACTTCTCCAGCATTAGAGACGGGGTTCGTACATACTGGCTTCCACCATCCAACCCAGTCGAATGGCTCAGACACGGCAGGTGCAACGCCCGATGACCTTGATCGCGGTTATTTCTCTGGCCCCGAGGGGGACACCCGCAAACAACGACGACTGTTGCAGAAACGGCAATCCGCCGCCGGGAGTGCTGATGCGCGCATTTCACCGGTCCCTGGGGAGCCCCTTCGGGTTGCGAAGCGGCATTCACGTATCAGTAGCATGGACTCGATTCGAGAAAAGGCCACGCAGCCTATTGCTCCGCCTAACAAGTCTTACACGACTCCTGCGCCGAAGGGACGACTTCGTAGTCTCAGTACCCGTCTGGTCGAACGGCGAACACCACAATCGGCCCCCGTTTCCGCGATTGAGGACCGTTCTGGAGGATCCAGTCTGTTCGGTCCGCTGTTCGGTGGGAAGTCGGAGAGCGACACACCCCGTTCGTCTCAGCAATCAACTAAGATTGGCGGCCCGAAGTTCCGTCGCGCCGTTGGCCTCCGAGCCATGTCGGATGTGGTGAGCAAGAACGTCGATACAACCGCTGCGCCGCCGTCCCCGGTTCAGGATCGAGATCCTGCTCCGCCTCGGACTGGTTCCACGACCCCTTCGACCACGAAGAGTTCTGAACGGTTGAGTACGGACGGCTCCGGTAAGGCAACGGAGGGTGGTCTGTGGCCCCGCTCCCGCCCGTCCGTCAAGACTGGCCCCAAGTCAAAGAAAGACACCAGTGCCTACATGCGTGGGCTGGAGAAGAAGTCTCCACAGGAGCAGATGGCAGGGTGCGACTACGTTGGCTGGATGAAAAAGAAGTCCCCGAACCTGATTACCACCTGGAAGCCACGGCTATTCGTGCTGCGGGGTCGCCGATTGTCGTATTATTATTCGGAGCAAGATACAGAGGAACGAGGATTGATTGACATCACTGCGCATCGCGTGCTACGCGCCGATCACGACCCTATGGTCGCGCTGCATGCCACAATTACCGGTTCCACCGGGTCGCCAACCGCTCCTGCCCCTTCGGTTCAATTGGCCGACGGGACTTCATCGTCCGATCCCATTCCAAGCATTGAGGCACCCCGAGCTAGCAAGTCCGGAAGTGAGGGCCCGTTCTTCTTCAAGCTGGTACCGCCCAAGTCGGGATCTTCGCGGACAGTGCAGTTCACGAAGCCGGCAGTTCACTATTTCCAGGTCGACAATGTGCAGGAAGGTCGACGCTGGATGGCTGCGTTGATGAAGGCGACTATTGAGCGGGACATGGACTTACCAGTGGAGACAACGAATAAGCAGCGTACTATCAGTCTGAAGGAGGCGCAGTTGATGAACCAGCGGCCTCCGGCGTTGATGGTGGGAGCGGCGGCTGGAGCACCAGAGGGTGCGGCGCCCGAGGCGATGGATAAAGAAGATGCGTCTTTGAATGCATCATCGGAGACCACCGACGCGGAGACGGCCGCTGAATCGTTTGAAACACCCGAGGAACGAGGCTTGATGATCAAAGGGCTCGATTTGGACGGCGAGCCTGCCAGCAGCGACGGCAATGAGGATGGTTCCAGACTCTCGAAACCTTTAGAAGTTGACACTGGCCCTGCGTCTCTACTTCCGGATTCGATTCAAAGCTCGCAGTGATGCAGCATGGGGTTTACATTTTTGTTTCCATTTTTCCATTCTCCCCCTCACATTCTTTTAATATCTTGTAGTGATGACGGCGAGCTCGCTTGGCGTTGATGTGATATACCCATTGGAATTTCTTTCAAAGCGGACTTGAAATGATCCGCGAAGACTTGTGATGAGTCGATAGCTTGATTAGATACTGGATTGCATGAGTTGTTGTATGGTTTTCTTTTTGAAGCTCTGCATTGTCTATGAACCGGGCCTGATTCACATGTTGCCTTTTTTAGAAGCATGGTTAACTAAAGTATAGTTGGACCTATTTCCAAATATAGCTTACCAGATCTGTAGTCAATCACCCGGTCACACTTTCTTACCTTCTTCGTCTCCAAGCTTAGAATGAGCACTGCCTACTGTATTTACCACCGCCCTGTACTAGAAAAAGCCAACTGATAACGCCGATAGCGTGAGGATCGGCGGGCCGAGACGCGCAGGCCCATTGATCTCCCGCCGCATCGACCAACTTTCCAACAACCTCACGCCCCTCCGGATAATGATGACTGTCCCTGATGCTTCTGTCTTTCAACCACACTCCTTTACTCTATTTTAATGTCCCTCCAATCCCTTCTTTGCCGTCTTTTGGTGCTGCTCGTCCCGCTGGCCGTGACGAGCAGCCTGTATCTGTATCTGTATCCCGTCGTCCACGGGTGCGCCTTTCCTCTGCCGCAGCATGACTCTCACTCTTTCTCCGATGCCTTTCTGGCCACTGTGCGACAGCATATGCCCATAGACGCTGAGCCCGCACCAGCAGCGCCATTTCGTCTTCTCGTCCTTGCAGATCCTCAACTAGAGGGAGACAGCTCGCTACCTAAGGCAGAGGATGAGCTGCCAGCGCGTCTGCGACTCCACTGGGGGCAGATACGGGCTGCCCTGACCTCTCCAGCTCTCCCTCTAAACTCGAGCTCGGCCACTGATGCTGAGTCTACGTCGGATTCTACCTCCAGCAACGCTTCAGAGTCAGACCCCAAGCCCATTACCGGCCCGGACCTTAACACCCGCGCAAACCAATCGACCCCGTTCAAGATCAACCTCCCCGCCGCGCAACAAGCCATAACCAGCGCCCTGCACTCCCTCCTCCACACCGACCTCCCCCGCACCCTCAAAGCCGCGCGCAAACGCCTCGACCTCCTGGGTAACGACTACTACCTCGCGCACATCTACCGCACCCTCCACTGGTGGACACAGCCCACGCACGTCACGGTCCTCGGCGACCTAATCGGGAGTCAATGGGTCAGCGACGAGGAATTCCAGCGCCGAGGCCACCGATACTGGGGGCGAGTGTTCCAGGGTGGTGTGCGGGGGGACTCGTTCATCCCTTCTTCTGCTCCCCCTGCCGACACCGACGAGGACGACGAGGACGAGGACGACGACTTCGCCCTCAACCCCACCACCCAACCCTCCCGCTGGACCAACCGCCTCCTCAACATCGTCGGCAACCACGACATCGGATACGCGGGGGACGCCAGCGCCGCGCGCATCGCCCGCTTCGAAGAGACCTTCGGCAAGGTCAACTGGGACGTGAAATTCTGGCTCAACACGTCCTCATCCTCAGCCTCAGCCTCAGCCTCAAAGCACGACGCAACCCCAAAAATCCACATCATCAACCTCAACTCCCTCACCCTCGACACCCCCGCCTACAGCCGGGACATCCAGTCCGCCTCCTACGACTACCTCAACGCCCTCATCGCCGACCGTCTTGCGCCGGTCACCGACCGCTCCACGTTCACGTTGCTGTTGACGCATCTCCCGCTGCACAAGCGGGCGGGCGTCTGCGTGGACGCGCCGCATTTCAAGTTCTTCGAGGAGGACGACGATTCCCCAGCCGGGGAGGAGAAAAGGTGGTTTGCCGGTGGGCTGCGCGAGCAGAATCATTTGAGTGAGTGGGTGAGTGGGAATGGGGTGTTGGAGGGGGTGTTTGGGATGAGTGGGGATGGCGCGGTGGAAGGCGGCGGGTTGGGGAGAAAGGGGTTGGTGTTGACGGGGCATGATCATGAGGGGTGCGATGTTTTGCATTTTGTGAGGTGGGGTGGGGGGTTGGACTCGATCTTGAAAGATGATGGCGAGGGTGAGGGTGAAGGCGAGGACAAAGGCACAGGCAAACAGGAAACTGAAGATGCTGCTGCTGCTGCTGCTGCTGCAGACGCAGACCCCGAGCAGAGGGACTGGCAATGGGACGCCAAACGCTACTCCTCCGCGCAGGAGGCCGCGACTACTACTTCTACGTCAACGCCCTCCATCCGCGAGGTCACCATGCGCTCGATGATGGGTGCGTATGGCGGGTACGCGGGCTTGCTGTCCGTGTGGTTTGACGTGGACAAGCAGGAGTGGGAGTATGAGATTCAGATGTGCGCGGCCGGGGTGCAGCACATCTGGTGGGCGGTGCATGTGGTGGATCTGGTGGCTCTCGGCGTCGCGGTCGTGGTAGCAGTCCTACTCCTTTTGACAGCGGTGCGGTCGAAGAAGCCCCAGGAACGGAAAGACGATGTCAAGACCCGACCTGAGAAGGTCAAGACATAAGTTCATAAAAGATATCATATATATATACACATTTATATAAGCCTCAGACATCAGGTATAGCAAGCACAGATCATGATAGATCATTGAGGACATTCAACCCTCAAATACATACGCATTCACATGGACAATGCAGATAGTCAATGAGTACGGGTACTAAGAAAATAAACTACATCAATACAAGCAACGTGCCTACAGCAAGAGAGGATATAACTTTTTTATGAATTCATTTTCATTTTATTCGAGGTCATAGATTTGAATTGGCAACCCCCACCCATGATTCCGAGCTTTGGTATCAGTTCCCCAAATCCGCTTTGTCACACACCCGCAAGATAATTCAAGGCTTTTTTTACATGACAACACCGGAGTTGGAGGCGATACGCTGTAGAGGAAGCAGCCCCGTTAGTAACCATTGAATGTTTTGTCTGGAGGGAGAAGGAGGGGGAAAACGTACAGGCCAAAGCTCAGCGGCCTCCTTACCGACGGGACCGGTGATGGCAGAGCCCTTCATCTCACCCTTGGCATTGACGATCTAACAACGAATATTAGCTAACTGCCGGAATTCCAGGGACATTGGGGCTCGAGCCACGACAGAACTTACAACACCAGCGTTGTCCTCGAAGTAGAGGTAGATACCATCAGCGCGGCGCCAGGGCTTGCTCTGGCGGACGACGACGGCGGGCATGACCTTCTTACGGAGCTCAGGCTTTCCCTTCTTGACGGTGGCCATGACCATGTCACCGACACCGGCAGCGGGGAGACGGTTCAGGCGAGCACCGATACCCTTGACGGAGATGATGTAGAGGTTGCGGGCACCGGAGTTGTCGCAGCAGTTCATCACGGCGCCACTGTTTGCGACTGTTAGTTTTTTTTTTTTTCGATCGATTGTCATGTCGTTGATCTCGGTGGCGGGAATTTGTTCAAGTGGTGGGTTGAACACTGGTGGATGGGATCGATGTTCATCGGGGATGGGAGCATTCGATGCACACGTACCAAGGAAGACCCAGGGTCATCTTGAGCTTGTTGCCGGAGGGACGCCTGTAAAAGAGATGGACATGGTCAGCTTTCGTCGTTGTCGATGTAGTGGTAGTACTGAGTATATCAAAGTTTCCTCCCAAGTTCGCATTCCTTTCCCCAACACCCGGAGAAGAAAAATTGCATCCTCAAGATTCCATTCGTGATAGCGTCGACCATTCGATGCCGGAAACCGTCGTAAAAAGGATATCGAAAGGTTTTCGTCATGAATTCTTCTCATCGATGACCCTCAATCTATCCTCGAAAGGACACAAAGAGAGAGAGAGAAAAGCTCCCACGTGTCGTTGAAATCCATACAAAAGGGCGCTTGTCGAATCGTATCCCATCCTTTTTATTTCGTGTCTGTTCCCCCGACTACTCGATCCTCTTTCCTTCTCCTTGTTGACCAAGGTGCAGGGAAAAGCCTCTCGAGCGCCAACATCCCAGTAATCGACGGCACCGGTGCGAAAATTCGTCGTCCTCCGATTTCCCGTATCCCAGATCACTCAGAAGTTCCACCTCTTGCGATGCAATTTTTCCTCCCTGCCTCCCCCCCCCTTTGCCTTCTCCTCCAATACCTCATTTCCTTCAATGAGCAAAAACGGGGACGGTCAACTCACGGTCTCTGAGACATCTTGGCTGCTGTGTATCTCTAAACACGGGGGTTGTCGGGAGAGATGGAGAATTGGGCGATGGACACAACGACAACAAGGTCGAACTCGAGCTTCGTTCTCTCAGCGGGCGGGCGTCGGGGGGGTCGCACGGCGGGCGTGTGGGCGGTCGGGGCGGTCGGTCGAATCCTCGCTTAGTGGGCGCGCAAATTCAGTGGGCGAAATCTTGGCGGAGTGCGTCTGATTGGTCCAGGCGGGAATTGCCCTAGGGCTAGTCTGCTAGGCTGAGTAGGTCATGTGATACTGAGATTTCGTCACGTGGCTTGGAACTATAGCTAGGGCAAGGATGTAGATGAGATACCTTAGATCGGACTAGAGGCTCAGTCAGAAAACAACTAACTGGTGATTGTCCCTCTGCATGGCAAAGTGGTGGCTATGTCGTTGACTAGATCAATACCAATCCGTGACCCTTTATTTTGTGTATGTTTGCATCGGCTTTTGTTCGCCTCTACCACTTTACAAGAGCACATAGGTGGCTCTCGTCGAGCAACCGGATCTTACTTCCAAGACACATGAACATCCTATATCATCATGCATTCGCCTAGTACATACATCTAAAAAAGAGTGAAAAAACAGAAGCAAAAATCAGACCAGAGATATATGTCGGAATTAATTCCCATGCAGAAGATCGCAACCAGAAACACCATTACTGCCCGTCCCTTGCGCCAGCAACCCCCGAGATTACAGGAGCCTCGTTAGTCCTCACTCTTCGTGGGCTCGTCAGGCTGCGTTGTCTTCGTGGCCTCCTTGGCTCCGTCACTCGTCTCCGACTCGGCCTTAGGAACAGTCGAGTCGCCCTTTGGAGCCTCGGGGCTCTTTTCCTTCGGTTCGCTGGCTTCGGCTGACGCAGCCGCTGACTTAGCGTCTTCGACCTCGGTGGTCTCGGGTTGCTGGGTCGTCTCTGTCGAGGGTGACTGGCTCTTGGCAGGCGCTGATGAGCCCTCAGGTGCGGTGTTCTCGAGGGCAGAAGTCTCTGCGCTAGGCTTCTTCTCCTCGCCCTTGTTCTCTGCTTGGGCGACGGCGGGTGCGCTCTCAGCCTGCTCCGGCCCAGGCGCCTCGTCTCCCGCGTCCTCCATTGTCGTATCTTCATCCTGGGGTTTGGGGGACGGTTGGCGAGAGATGGGCGCAGAGGGAGCAGCCTGATCCCCGAGTCCATCATGTGCCAGTTCCATGGCATCTGCACCCGATGCCGCCTCAGCTCTGGCCGGCAGGTCAGCGGCCGCGGGCGAAGCCTGTGCCCCAGTCAACGGCTCCGGAGCTTCCGTCATCTTCGTATCGGCGGTCAGGTCCATGTCGTCGTCGGGGATTGAGGAGGCGTCGACAGGGGTGGCCATGCCGCTCTCCGGGCCCGAATCAGCAACGTCCAGATTCCGATAGTTAACCTGGTTTCTGCGCTTCATCGACTGGGGCTTGCGGTGTACACCATTGGCCGCAGCTTCATCCTCATCTTCACTGTCACTGAGCTCGCCGGGCTTTTCGATGTACTGGTCAAAGCGTCGCTTCGTGTAGCGCTTGTCCTTGTTCTCATCTTCGTCCAAATCATCCAGAATCGCATCCGCTTCGTCGTCCATGCCGTCCACAAGAGACTCCCGGGGTACATCAGTCATTTGCACGGAAGGCGCAAAGGCGGTGCGCTTGAGATTCTCCACAACTTGCGTCCGGATTTTGTCGAGGTATTCTTTCGTGTTGGCATTGTCCATGTTAGAGGGCCGCACATCCAATTCGTAGTCGGGAGCAAAGTACTGCACTTGTTAGTCAGGTTAACCCAAATCCGCACAGTCGATCTTACCTCGTAGTAGTCGTTATAGGGAAGCTCCGCGGTCAAGCTGTCTCCCACAAGGATACCGGTCTCAAACGCCCAGGTTCGAGCAACGTTACGCATCGTGTAACCACCACCACCAAGAATCAGAGTGGGCAGGTTGAAGCTCTTGATAAAGTTTACACAGTTGGCGTGGCCGCGCATGCTGAGGTTAAAGCACCCCAGACGATCACCTGAGAGACTGTCACCTCCGCACTGCAGGACCACGGCTTCGGGCCGGTACCATTCCATCACGCTCTTGATAACAGGCTCGAAAATGCTCTTGTAAGAAGTATCGTCGATACCGTCACGAAGGGGGAAGTTGACAGCGTAGTGCTTGCCCTGGCCCACGCCGATATCGCGGAGCTCACCGGTTCCCGGGAAATATTCACCATACTTGTGGAAAGAGACTGTCATGACACGATCGGTAGTATAGAACGCTTCCTCGACACCGTCTCCATGATGAACATCGATGTCAACATAGAGCACTCGCTGCTTAAAACGCAGCAGCTCCAAGATGCCAAGAACAATATCTACCACCCAGTCAGTAAACGTCAAGATTAAACCCAATATTCTTTCTTTGGCTCACCATTCACGTAGCAGAAACCACTAGCTTCGCTCTTCTTGGCGTGGTGAAGACCACCCGCCCAGTTGACCGCGATATCGCATTTGTTCCTGTTCAACCGTGCCGCACCCTCCATACTACCTCCCGCGCTGATACCGCAGAATTCAAAGAGCCCGTCGAAGACAGGGCAGTCGTCACCGACATTGTACTTGCTCTGTTCTTTGGCAAAGGAGTCCATATTATCCGGGGTCACCTTGGAAAGGAAATCGATGTATTCATCGGTGTGGAACTGGGTCATTTCGTATTTGGAGGCCGGTTTCGCACGCTGTGGCGATCTTGCGGTTAGCACCTCCCTAACCACCAGAGGGTTGCCAGCTAGACTCACGTAGATTTCCATCTTCTTGTAGAGACCATAGTTCATGACAAGACTGTGCGTCATCCTTATGCGATGAGGCTTCATGGGGTGACCCGACACATAGGCATAGTTTCCGACGTCCGAGTCGTAGAAGTAAGCGACCTTCTTACCGCGGTCCCCCGACCCGTTGGTAATAGGGTCCAAAGGAGGCAAGGAAGTCGACATGTTGGAGGTCAACGTGTAAGTACACGAGACGGATCCTCACGCAGTTTAGGAGTTGGGGGATTCTATGGATTATGCGCGGTGTTTTCTCGGTCTGATCACAACGGAGCTGAATGGGGGGGAAATGAAGGGAATAGAATTCAGACCAAGGCAAGAAGCCAAGTCTGAGTGACAGAAGGTATCCCCTCGTCAATCAACCAAGCAAGTTGATCGTGGTAGCGGGATTGGAACAAGGAAGAGGCATTCCCATAAGGCGGGCGAACGATAACTTAAAGATGGGGAACGGGAACAAGAGAGGGAAGGGAAGGAGAGACGCAAAGGCGGGAACCCCGAGCTGCTCCACCGCCTTCGTCAGGCTTCTTGGAAGCTCGACCGATGGCTTCACGCTTGAGTTGCGCCGCTCACCACTCATCTTCCCGTCAACTCCCCGCTGCTCACTCTTGCCTCCCTAGAACCATTTAGATCTCATTTACGACCCCCTCATTTCAAGCGATTTACTCCGCGCTTCTCTGCAGCTCCAAACCCCCTTCAATTCATCCGTTTCCTCTTGCCTGTTGGAGCTTCCGCCCAGGAAGACATCCGGTGTCGTCTTTCCATCCAACTTACCTAAACTCACATCACCTCATCAATCATGGACCGTCTCAATAGAATGCTGCAGGCTGCCCAGGGCATGGGCATGGGCGGAGGAGCTCCTGGTGGCGTAAGTCCCTCCACTCCGATTGCTTGCTGTTTCTATCCAAGGCTATCATGCCGCCCTCCGCCAGGCGGCGGAATCGCCAACCAACGCTGCAGCAATACTTCGACAGTAATAGCTAAATATACCTAATCTAGGATACTCCCAACCTGATCGATAACTCCGAAACCGTTCACATCTCGTCGCTTGCTCTGTTGAAGATGTTAAGGCATGGTCGGGCAGGTGTTCCCATGGAAGTCATGGGTCTCATGCTCGGTGAATTCGTTGATGAATACACGGTTCGGGTAGTCGATGTCTTTGCTATGCCTCAGAGTGGTACGGGTGTCAGTGTCGAGGCGGTGGATCCTGTCTTCCAGACCAAGATGATGGACATGCTGCGGCAAACTGGACGGTAAGACGAGACTCGAACCGACTCCCCGGCTTCAACTTTAACTGACCATCTGTTGCGTATAGGCCCGAAACCGTCGTTGGCTGGTACCACTCCCACCCTGGTTTCGGCTGCTGGCTTTCGTCTGTCGATATCAACACCCAGCAATCATTCGAGCAGCTTACCCCCCGTGCCGTGGCCGTTGTCGTTGATCCCATCCAGTCCGTGAAGGGCAAGGTCGTCATCGATGCTTTCCGTCTCATCCAACCTCAGACCGTCGTCATGGGCCAGGAGCCCCGTCAGACCACCTCCAACCTTGGTCACCTGAACAAGCCTTCCATCCAGGCCCTGATTCACGGCCTCAACCGACACTACTACAGCATTGCGATCAACTACCGCAAGACGGGTCTGGAAGAGAACATGCTGATGAACCTGCACAAGCACGTCTGGACGGAGGCACTGCAGATGAAGGACTTCCACGACGAGGGTGAGCACAACGTCGAGCGCATGAAGCAGCTCGTCAGCCTGGCTGAGGGCTATGAAAAGCGGGTCAAGGAGGAGACGGAGTTGAGTAAGGACCAGCTCAAGACGAGATATGTCGGAAAGGTCGACCCGAAGAAGCGTAAGCTATATGCAGTACTCCCGTCTTGTCGTGTCAGGACTAACCCCATATTACAGACATCGAAGACGTCAGTCAGCAGCTGATCGAGGATAATATCGTCGCCGTCTCCCGACAGATGATCGATAAGGAGGCATCCGTGGCACGGCAATCCAATGGAACCGAGTCCCAGAACGGCGCTGGTATGGAGGTGGACGAAGAGCTCTAAGCATGTATTAAGCTTCTGATCAACGTATAATATCTGTCTCTGAATGCATACCACGAGTGAAAGCGTTTTCCTTCTCACTGGACAGGTTTCATGTGCGGAGACGGACGATAGAGTCTTGAGTTTTGGCAGTTACCAGCTACGAATGATGTCAACGTTACAGTGGCGACCTGAGTCGTGTGGACGCCAGGGAAAGAATCTCATTGCAGAATGACTTCAATTCGTATAAATGCGTAAACCATGAAATCGCTAACCAATCTAGAAATATCTAATCTATGATGCGAAGAATGTCCGTATATGTTGAGCACATCCCACAGCATCAATCCGCCTCGTCCCGAGTCTGCGTATATCGTACAGTATATATGCGTGTGTGTGTATATGTATAGATAATCGTCTCTCGTCACGATTCGACGACCGTAGCCGTCTCCGGCATGAGCGTCTCCGGCATAAAACCCGCGGGCATCATAGCCTTCAAGCGAGCGAGCTGCTGTGCCCGGTGTTCCTCCGCCTTGGCTTCCTGGGCCTTGAGACCGTAAGCGTCCTCGTCGAACTCCTCGCCGTCGTAATCCGTCCATCCACGGTCGGGGCCCCAGGCGATCTTCTTCCGCGCCGCGCGCGCCTCGTGCAGCAGGCGCTTCATCAGGCCGCCGCTCTTGCGCACGGAGGGCCAGGCGTCGAACTCGACGTACTCGAGGTTGGGCAGCCGGGCCAGGACCTCGTGCAGGATGTTGCCGGAGAAGTTGGTGTAGAAGTCGCGGGAGATGCGGAAGCCCTCGAAGACCGGGTGCGAGGGGTCGACCTCCAGGAACACCTTCAGGGTGCGGATGCGGACCATCTCCTCCAGCCCCAGGGACGGGGTGACGCGCCACGCGGTCGGGGGGTCGGTCCAGCTGGAGCCCAGGATCAGCTCGATGGTGGCGATGGAGGGCCGGTACTGCGGCGCGATCGCCCGCACCGTCGGCATCTTCGAGTAGTCCTGCAGGTGGAACAGGCGGAACACCTGCGTCGAGTAGAAGTAGTCGGCCGCCTCGTCGTGCAGGCGCCGCGACGCCAGGAAGAGCGCGATCCGGTGCGACGCCGGGGCCAGCGGCGGGTTCTTCTTCGATGAGGCGCCCACGCTGCCCGCCGCGCGCACCGTCCGCCGCCGCTTCGGCGTGAACAGCACGTAGTGGTAGACGCGCAGCCGGATCTCCGAGGGGAGGTCGAAGAAGCGGAAGGGCTCGATCGCCGCTTTGCCTTTCTTCCGTTGCGGGCGCAGGTTCTTCGAGCCCTTGCTGGGTGGTGGTCGTGGTCGTGCACCGCCGCCCAGGTTTAGCTTCTCCAGGTCTCGGGAGAGGGACGAGGTCATCTTGCGTCGTCGGGAGGACCAAGCGAAATATGTATGTGGTCGAGTTTTTGTGTTCTAAGGTTTGCGGCCGAAAACAATGGGAAAGTTTAAGCGGCACGATACGAAGAATAAAAAGGCAGAGATCTTTTTCTTTTTAACCGAGATAATGCAGGCTTCGGTCATCCATCGCTACATTTAACGACTGGGTTCATAGGTTGACATGACCCTGGATGGACGCGGATGAAAATGGATCGAATCGCTGACAGCAACTACTTAGCCGAGGCGGCGAAATCAATCAAGAGGATAGGATTATATCCCACTAACGGGGCTGCAGCTGCAGAGGAGACCTTTGCTGCGGCTCTTGGGTGTGGGATTGAAGCAGAACTTCATTGGTCTCCCCAGCTAATACAACCCGGCATGCATATTATTGGCACGAAGGGTCAAATTTGTGGACTGGGTTTCAACTTTCATTTGGTTAAAGAAGAAAAAGAAAAAAAAAGAAGAAGAAAGAATTGGCAGGAGACGGAGGATTTTATATGAGGAAATACGCTGCGTTGAAGGGCTCTGTCGCCACCCGGAGCAGTGCTGGTCCGTGCCTTGAACTTTTTTGCAGTGACGGAGAGAGAGAGAGAGAGAGAGAGAGAGAGAGAGCTTGCCAGTGCAAGTGCCAGTGTTAGTTAGCGTCCGTCTTCTCCGCCGCCGACCTCTGCCGATTTTCCTAAACTTGACCAAGACACTTTGGATCATCGATTCTTGACCCTGCCATTCTTCTCATCCCACATTGGTCTTTGTCTTTCTATTACCTGCCGTGTGCTGTGTGCGCTCTGCGGTGCATGTGTAAACTGTCTATCACCATCCATTTCTAAATTCCTTCCATCGATCCTCCTCCCCCATCCATTCATAATGCTTAGCCGGGCCGTACTGCCTCTGACGAGGCCTAATATTCTCGCTTCAACTGTCCGTGCTTCAACCGTCACAGTCCCTCACTCGCGCTGGTATGCAAAGAACAGTAAACCGAAATCTTCCTACAACCTTCCCGACTCCATCAAGGCCTCGCAGGCCAAGCAGCCCTCGCAGGCTCCGGCTCCCAAGCAAGAAGACAAGCAAGCAGATTATTCCGCAGAGCAGGCCGAATTTGATACCAAGGCCGACCCGCAGAGCAATGCCTCTTCCCAACAGACCTCCGTGAGTTGCGCCGCATCTTATTGATATTTAAGCCCGTTCAGCTGACCAGTGTGGCTCTACTAGCCTGAATCACACGCACCCGAAGAAAAGGAACTCCCTCGCCAGCCCCTCCCCGACCTTACCCAGGGTATCCCCTCCACCCTCGCGGCCGAGTTGGAAGCTCGCCAGACCGGTCGCCCATCTACCACTCTGAACCTTACCGAGGACCCCTCCCGCGCCGAAGACTACGCCGAAGATGAGGGTCGCGGTGATAAATCCAAAGACCACTATACTTCCTCCCTCGACCGCAAGCGCGCCCGCATGGCCAATCTGTTCTCGGCGTTGTTCTTGCTGGCCGGTGCTGGTGGAGTGGCTTACCTGGGCCGGAACTGGGAGAACGAGTTGGAAGAGAAGGCTCACCCCGAGACTCCGTCCGGTTGGGGACTGGGACTGTGGTATAACCGCGCCAAGGCCCGTCTCGGTGACATCACCAGCTACTACAAGGACCCGGCCTTCCCCAAGTTGCTGCCGGACGAGGACCCCAACATGCGCCAGCCCTACACTCTGGTGCTGAGTCTGGAGGACCTGCTGGTGCACAGCGAGTGGAGCCGCGAGCATGGCTGGCGTGTGGCCAAGCGACCCGGTGTCGACTACTTCCTCCGGTATCTGAACCAGTACTACGAGCTCGTCCTGTTCACCAGTGTGCCCAGCATGATGGCCGACCAGGTGCTCCGGAAGCTCGACCCCTACCGCATCATCCGCTGGCCCCTGTTCAGAGAGGCCACCAGATATAAGGACGGTGAATACATCAAGGTATGACGCAATTGACTCGAGCTGGCTGTTTTCCATCCACCCCACTAACATGGGCTGCAGGATCTGTCCTACCTGAACCGTGATCTCTCCAAGGTCATTCTTCTTGACACTAAGGAGGAGCACGCTCGTCTGCAGCCCGAGAACGCTATCGTCCTTGACAAGTGGCGTGGCGACCCCAAGGACAAGACCCTGGTCGCTTTGATCCCTTTCCTGGAATACCTCGCTGGCATGGGCGTCGAGGATGTGCGCCCCGTCCTCAAGTCTTTCGAGGGCTCGTCTATCCCCGTCGAATTCGCCAAGCGTGAGAAGGCCATGCGCGAGCGCTTCGAGCAGGAACTCGCCGAGGAGCAGAAGCGCCGCCCCCGGAGTGGTCTGGGCGGCTTCGCCTCCGCTCTGGGTCTGAAGTCCAACCGGACTCTGGACGGCGAGCAGAGCCCCGCGGAGGGCCTGGCCCAGGGTAAGATGCTCTGGGACCAGATCCGCGAGCGCGGCCAGAAGAACTACGAGATGATCGAGAAGGAGATCCGCGAAAACGGCGAGAAGTGGCTGGCCGAGATGGCCGCCGAGGAGGAGAAGGCTCGTCAGGAACAGATGGCCATGATGAAGGGCTCCTTGACCGGCATGTTCGGTGCTGGTGGTGACAAGAAGCAGTAAGCAAAAAAGTGAAACCGATCATCACTTGCTTGTGTTCTTGATTGCAGGAGCACTCTTTATGAGAGCGGGTGCTTGGGTTCCATACGAGCGCCACAAACGAACTTCCTCTCTCTGTCTCTCTCCTCTTCCTTTTTTTTCGTGTCTTGTCTTCCTTCTCCTTCTATAATCTACGTATACCTGGGGTACACTGTTGTTACTGTTGTTCTCGGGACCGGGGTTTTCATGTTGTGTTTTTTTTTTCTCTCTTTTTCCTTAGAAGCAGGGGTTTCTGTCCCGCGCACCCATCCTTTGATCACGGGTTGATTGTAAAATAGCATACTTTTTATTTTCCGTTGTTGTTGTCCATCTAGGAGGGAGGTTATGTATAAATTGGAAATAAAATCCTAATCATATGCATGGTTTCTATATTATCTGCGCGTAGAGGGTAAGCTGAATTGCACGGTAGGTCTTACCGATGGTGTCGACCCGATGAGCTGAAGTATATATTTCCGGCGACCAACCCAGGTCCTTGACAACCATTTTTCGGACGAACCGCCAGATTTCCGCAATCGCAGAAAAATCGCTGTGGCAGTCGAGCTTCGATGCCATAAAAGGTATGTATGTTTGTAGTATTGTTCTGTTCCCTAAGCAGAAAGAACCTGCAACACAGCGACAGCAGCAGTAACTATGCACTCACTGCCTCAATGGGTATATTCTAAGAAATCAAATCAAAACAAAACAAAACAAAACAAAACAAAACAGAAAGCCTCTCCTCCCCTCTTCCCTCCTTTCTCCTTCCACCCCAGCCTCCACATTCACTCTCCCTCACCCTCACTTTCGACTCTTTTGTTGAAAAGACAGAGGGAAAAAAGATCAAGTAGTCAAAAGGGATGAGGTGGGTATCCATACTCTCGTTGAAAAATGAGCATGATTTGGTAGTGATCATTCCAAAGAAAAAATCAACGAGAAACCTGGGGTAGTTGATTACATAGAATATTACGGTTATGTTGCCTTGTCCAAGGATTCCTTTCTCTGCGGGCTTTTACGATAGGTTGACGTCCTGGAAGACGGACACGTCCCAGATGCCGGTCATATCGAAGGGAAAGCCGTCCATGGTGCCGAAGGTGCCGGAGATGGACATCATGTCGTCGACGATGTCATTGTTGGTCTGCGTCTCGGGGAGCGAGATGGCCGCCGGGTTGACGAGACGGCCTGTGGCCCCCGGGTGGTCGGACGCGCCGCCCGCGCCGCCCGCGCCGCCGCCGCCCAACATGCCGCCGCCGAGGCCAATGACCTGGCTGAAGGTCGTGTCGGGGTTGGTGGCACCACCGCCGGCGCCGGCGCCGGCGCTGCCCGGGGGCGCCGCTAGGCGGCTGAGGAGCCGTTCGCAGTGGTCCAGGCACATGTCGGCGACGTCCCAGTCCTCGTCCTCGCGGACGCGGCGCAGGATGGCGCGGAAGGTCTCGACGTTGGCGAGGCAGGACCGCGCGACTTCGCTGTCGGTGGTTTCGAGGGCGCAGCGGACGAGAAGCGTTGCGGTCGTAGTGAGGTGGAATGCGCTGTCTGGTTTGGGGAGTTGGGTTGTTTAGTTTTTTTGCGATCTTGGCTGGTAAAATGGTTCCAAGAGAAACAAGAGAGGGAGGCAGAGAGAGAGAGAGAGGAAGAGGTGCTTACATGGAAGCCAGAATTCTTGAAAATTCTCCTTGCGAAGAGAGGAGATGAATTGTACAATCTCCTCCGCCGATTTGCGGCATTCAGTCTGGAAATACCGGCGTGCTTCCGGGTTTTCCGTCTCCGAGTTGTTCACCTCCTACGGATTTGTTAGCTTGGCTGGGCAGGAGGTGTCTTGTAGCAGGTGCGTCGCTCACGTTCAATTCCACCCGGCTCACTAGCATCTTAACAGCCAGGAACGCTAGTTGAAGACTGCTGGTTCCGGAGATGCGTCCCTCAGAGGTACGTGGAGGGTTTCTCAGCCAGTCAGGCAGCGAGTCCTCCCAGACGTCGAGGTCCGTCCGGATCTGTCTCACTTTCTTGGTGGTTTCGCGCGCGAATCGGTGCTGAAGACCGTAGACAAGGGGCAGTAGCTCGCCCAGAATCTCCGTCAATTGGCACAGCGCGATGTGGCAATGCGCGGCTCGGACGCGTTCAGGGGTGCGAGATGCTGGCGGTATAAGTACGTCGATTGTCGGAAGGGGGACGTCGTACTGATTCTTTGCAATCTGTGGCGGTACACCGTGACCGAAGCTCCCCCTGAAACCAATGTCAGTAACCCTTCCTTGTTGAGTAGATACGATACCTACCATCGATCGTGGATGACCACACCCCACCATAAGCGCATGCGATGATTCTTTTCAGCCGGGGACAGTTTCCAATGACTAGGGTCGCGATTGAGTCCGAGACAGTGTGCGAGGGAGACCATCCGGCCGCTACTGATCGCATTTCCAGTCATGGAGAAAATCGGGCGACCGGTCAAATCAATAAGGGCGGCGCTTATGGTAGACAGACCAGGGGCGGAGAATTCCTCGTGTAGAGCGGCCACGGTCATGTTGACCGCGTAACGGACGTCTGGTTTTGGATGACACGCTAGCTTGGGAGTGTGCTTCCAATACACTAAAGACATCGAATACACCTGACACAAAAGAGAGGCTGGCGGGTCCCCGGGAGTCTCAGAGATAAAAGCCTCCCAGAAGCTTTCTCCATCGAAGATGGGGAACGCCGCGTTGAACCTGTCAATGAACCTATTTTGGGTGATTAGTAGGTCATTCCGATCCGATCCGATCCTAGACGGAGACATACAGTCTAACTAGGTCGTGCTTGAAAGGTCCTAAGATCTGCTCCAGAATTTCTTTCTGATTCTCTCCCGGCGGAATACCAACGCGCATTCCCTGTCTTCGTCTCGAAACCGTCGTGTACAGAATGGGCTTCCTTGGATCGCTCGAGTAGACATTATACGTATTGTTCTTCGGTTCTACGGACTTGCTCGTCCGCTCGGTGGGCATGTACTTTTCAATCACTTGGGCGTCGTCAGCCACCACAGGCCCAACAATGAGGACAGACTCATTGTGAGGATCATCGAATCTGGACTCGCTTCCTCGATGGCCACCGGCTGAGTCTGTCTGGGGAACACTGGATGCCCGTGGGCGGCTGCCACTGGCCGGGGAGCCGACTTCTGAGCTGCGCTTACGCTTCTGACCAACAGTCGACACTTGCGCCGGATCTGCGGACCAGCGTTTGGTGTCATGGCCGTCTGAGAGTGGAGCATCCTGGCTGGAATCCTCCTGGTAGTGGCAATCGGCGCCCTGCACGCGACACAGCAGACACGACTGGCCGGGTATATCCACAGTGCACCGAGACTTGCGCTTCCTGCACAGATCACATGCCCTGACCTTATGTGACCTGTATGGTCTGGCGCCGGCGTTGAACCCCGGAGAGGCGAGCTTCTGGGTGGAGCTACTCGGAGCTGTCGTCGACGACATGATGAGCCTTCAGCAAACGGGTGACCTGCTCGGGAATTCTTGTGAAGATCATCAACTAATCGTAAGCCAATCGAGGACACTGCAAATCATGCAATCGTGATAGAGGGCGAACACCGTCGAGTGCGAAGCGTGCGTATGGTGGAGGATCGGATCTAGGCCGGCCACCGATGATCGGGGAACAAGCGCTGTACCCGGCTAAATGACTCTGAGAGTGGGAGAGGAAAGCATTGATCCGGGGTAAGCTAGTCGCGAAGCTGCGCCAAGTACTGCATGGTCACTCAGCATACAAAGATCAAGCAGGCATTGCGATGAGCGACGAGTTCACTTTTGAGAGAGGGGGTGGTTCGGTCCATCCAGCGCGGGATGATGATTATTATTTCCCTTGCGTTTTCTCCGAATCCGATAAAATCTTCGTTCTTATCGGCTGCTGTGAAGTTGTGGGGAGGAAAAGAGCTGAGTCAGCGGGTCAGACCAACCACGTGCTCCTAAATCGGAGTCCGTATTCACATCGGGTGGGCTAGGCCCAAATGGGACTGGACAGGGTCCCCGCGCCCGCCTCAGGCCTTTTTCAGGCACCCGTTTCACTTTCTCCCCGCCTGGCACGCGCGAACGGACTTGCAGTGAGCTCACTCATTCATGACTGACTGACTTACTTACCTCTCATCCACTCTCCGAGTACTCCGTACAGCCTAGCTGATTGATTATTTGCTAGACCATGCAGCCAACGCATGGACTTGCTGTCTCTTCTTATGCCTCTTTAGCTTAGCTTAGCCCTGTTTGAGTTTTATCCACTGAAACCGGACCAGACGATCACCGTTGCATTGGTCTACATTGGTCTACGTTTGGAGAGACACAGCCACCGGGGTCGCTAGTTGGCGCTTCCCGTGCTTTCCACTCACCAGAGTCACCACCACCCACACCACCCCCCAACGCGCCAAATCCTGCGTTCGGGATCCTGCCAACTTCCCCCTACATCTTTTCCCGCCATGATGCTGGATGGGCGCAATTGATCCTATAATTGTGTCTGCATTTGTCTTTAGCAAATGTAGACACCCATGGGCTGGACATCGTTGATCATGGATGAGGATGTCCTATTACCTGCGGCTGAGCGGCTCGATGGGCCCCATCAAGATGATGATGACCAGCAACCGACAACATGTTTGATCAAGCTGCAAAACGATATGATAAAGCAGGAGAAAGAGCTCGCAGGCGAGCAACGTTCCTCACCCTTTGCCCGTTTACCTCGCACAGTCATTGAACAGTAAGTAGTTACTTTCTTCTATTTCTTCTGGCTGGTCGGCTGGGAGGCGCTTGTTCGCTTCTCCATATCGCTCACCCGCACTGCGCGGTAACTTGACCTATATGCGGTTCGTTCTTAACGGGTTACACAGTATCCTTTTCGTTGCGGATGCAAACACGTTCGCCTCACTAGCCTTACTGAATCGCAAATGGAGGCGGATTTCCGACTCGACTCTGCTATACTCTCATCATTTAGCCCAATGCCCATCTTTCTCTCTGACCCAGAAAGCCATCGCGGAGCCATGTCAGCAGCCATGCGACCTGTCACACCTCAAACAAGTGTTCTACACTCAAATCAGACGGAATGCTTTCGAGACCTTCTTGCGACCTCGCAAGACTCTAATCAAGCTGATATCGACCTCGATGAGCTCGTCAACAGCATTTCCGCAGGGCGAAGCTTTCCGGTTCTCTTTCTCCCCCAACGGTCAACTAATTCTGTGCATCAGTTCCTCTCGAATTGTTGTCCTTGACGTCACCTCAAACCCTGCTTCAGTGAAGCATGAACTCAAAACCTGGAGGCGTCCATTGCATGCCGCGATCATTGACGACGGGTCTCTGCTTGCGGTGGTTTCTTCTAGCCATCGTGTCAATGTTTACAGTCTTTGTGACGAGGAAGTAAGACTGGTCCAAGACCTAACCTTGAACGATGTTCCTCGGACGCTAGCACTATCTCCCACGGGAGGTGTGCTTGCTATTGCGTATGATGATCGCATTGAAGTACATGCGACCGGAGAGGGGGTACTGGCCACCGAGAGACGAGCTGTGCGCTGCTCTGGCGTCGACTCTGTCTCTTTCTCCGCAGATGGAGCCATGCTTCTTGGCACCTCTGCCGATCCTCAAAATAGTGGCTTGGTCACGGTAACAGTACCGTTCTACGCCGAATCGGAGCCTGAACTCTCTCTGAGAGATGTCCATAGACGGATGTGGACTACTCAAATCCTTTTTCCGGATGTTACCACGGGCTTCAGTCGCGCATGTATGCTCCCCCTTCACTCCGAAGGCGAAGGTAGCTGGATCATGGGTTTTGATGAACAAATCAACTCACTCCGAGCGTTTGGGGCCAATAACACTAGCTCAGGTACAACGTACTTTGTGACGCCCATGTCCGATGATGGAACCAGAGAATCTACCCCCACCATGCTACCTACTGTTGATGATATGGGGGAACTGGTTGCGGCTGGCTTTGAGGAATCTGGTCTTTGGGTGTATGGCATACCCGATCGTCTGGATATCGCTCCTGTAGCGACTAGTACACGACCACCAGCTGGGTCCGATGGGGAGCTGTACCACTGGGAACACGAAGGCGCGCTACCTGGTGAAGATTGCTCATCTCGACTGCAGCGGTCGATCACTAAACCAAAAGTACTCATTAAGGGTCATAAAATCAGTGATATGCCGGGCATGACTGCAGCCCACTGGGTGGAATGTACGGGTCTCGCTACAGAAAATCGTCGCTTGGTGGCCGTTGCACCAGGTGGCATCAGCCCCCCAACCATTGGCGAAGAAGATGTGCCGGTGGATGGTGGACGAGTCCTCCTGCTGGACTTTGCACGTTCAGCGAGCGATGGCAATTATACCGAGATTAGCATTGAGATTGGTGATGCGGAACCAAAAATGCTTTATGAGCCAGACTCGAGTCTAGACACCGAGGTAGAACTAGAAAGAAGAAGGACTCGCATACACCGTGCAAGCGCTACGTCGCCGCGAGCCAGAGCTTTCGCTAGGGAGTCATATCCGTCGGCCCATTCGGTGTCTCACGCTTCTCGGCCGAATATTCGCCGCAACAGCTCCTTCTTCTCCAGTTCTTCGAATGGAGATGCGTATCATATCCCAGAGTCCCCGTATGACAATGGGCAACCGCGATCTAGGGATACACTGCGTCGTGCTGCGACTGCTGCCGCCAACACGAGGGAACGATATCACCCTCCACATCGCGATGCGCAGTCCCCCATCCACCCGAGACCAGCCTCGCAGACCTTCCAGGTACCTCATGAAAGTGACGCCGACAACTGGGTCCCGCCTCCCCCACCCTATACTCGCGTGCCAGATGCACCTCTCCCTGATCATTTGCGAAGGACTCTGCTACCCTCCAGGACAGAGCCGGTCACCCGAGTCGGCGAACCTCCGGCCGAAGTCCAGCGCTCGCAAACCAGCCGTCTAGAGAACATGGTCGAAGAATCGTCCTCTCGGGTGTCACTGCACAGATTGAACAGCATCGCGAGCTCGAGGCTCGCTTCTCGCCTAATGCGAAATAGCACCAGAGAGCCCGTATTTCCTGAACGAGCGCGCAGGCAAAACACATTCATGCGCAGGAGAAGAAGTTCAGCCACCGGCGCTCCGCAAACCATCGAGGACACGAACGGACTCGCACCGCTGGTCACTCCTTCTCAAGAACACGTCGAGCAGCATATACACTTCCAATTAGAGAGCATAGCCGACTACCCAGCGCAGCCTGACCGATCCGTGCCCCTCCTCTCCACTGACCCATCTCTACCGCCATCGAATTCTCAAGCCAACTACGCCAATCCGTCGCCCGAACAGCCTACCATGCATGCCCGCATCGACGTTCCGGGAACCATTCCCGCCACGCAGGAGCTCGGCAACACCCGCCAGTACTCCTTCTCCTCTCCCAACCTCCAAGTTCCATCCGCCCTGCAGTACGATGCTCCAGAAGTCCTCCAAGACAGTCATATGCGCTCCGGCTACCCCCACCAGGTGGGCGACCGCCGTCCGCAATCCCAGGACCTTCCACTGCCGCTGATAGGGGCCAGAATTCAACCCCTGCACCACCGGGCCTCGACGGATCCCACGCTATCCGCCGGCTCTCAAGCGGCCGCCCATGATCTGTGGCGGAGACGCATAGAGGAGTGGAACGAACAAACTATTTACGAGAGGAGCAAACGACGAAGCAAGTGTATTGTGATGTAGCAGGGCTGCCTTTTCCCATTTTGCTTTTTTCTCAGATCTCGACTCGATTTGGTTTTTTTCTTTCTGGGTTGCATCATTGGTTTCGAAGATTTGGAGTGTATATTGATAGGACCAGGAACATATTTGGGATTGTAGAGCGATGGCGTCGTTTTCTTTGTTCTAGAGTCTGGGACTATTATCAATATGTTACAGGTAAGAAGTTGGCTTCTTGTATATTCAGACGCATCAGGAGGGCCGGGGTTGACCAAGTCTCGTGTGATTGGAATCGAAATGTCTCATTCATATTTCAGCATCCGCAAAACTTAAGATGTCATAAGCAAATAATTAGATACTGATCATTGCCGTCGTGCACGAATTTCAGAGCATATGAAAGCATGCACACCACAAACGTCGCAGTTTAACTGCCCCCGCCCCCTCCACCACAACCTCCCCCTCCGCCTCCACCTCCGCAACCTCCACCACCACCGCCGCCGCAACCAGCCCCTGCACCACCACCACAACCCCCAACACCACCGCACCCACCCCCAGCACAACCCCCGGAGCAATTCCCTCCCATCCCTCCACAGCTGCCCGCCGCAACCCCACCTCCACACGTCCCCGCCGCACAGTTCCCATGCACCCCTTCCACGAAACTCATACAGCTGGGGTTCGCCACATACGCATCCGCATGCACCCCGGGGTCACAGGTATACGGGGCATAGAAGGGCACATAAACCGGATACCCCCACAGCAGAGGGTAGTAGCCATAGACGGGGTCCACCCCGGCGGCGGCGGCCCCGGACTTTTCCTTGTTGGCGGCAGCAGAAGCAGCCTTCTGGTCCTTGGACTTGCGCTTCTCGGCGCGGCGGCGCGCCTTCTCGTAGTCGTGGCGGAGTTTCAGGAATTTGATCTCGCGGGGATCGAGACTGCGGGTGTTACCTGCTGTCGTGGTGGTCTGCGGGCGGACGGCGTTGTGGGCGGAGATATGCGGGTTCTTGTCGGGGTCGGAGGAGATGTCGTCGCGGTCGTGGAGTTTGGCGGCCGCCTGGCGGGCGCGGGCGGTGGAGGAGAAGAAGGGGATGGCGAGGGGGGAGTCGGCGGCGACGCGGACGGCCTCGCAGTACCAGCAGGTGCATTCGCTGTAGATC